GACAAATCCGTAAGTTGAATTATAAGTCCAAAAAATGAAAAAAATGTTTTTGACCTGGCACCCCATTTTTTGAAAATAAAGCATTCCGATACCGATATAGATTGTTCTAGTTGTTCCAAACATTGTTCCGAAAGCACAAATCAATAAGTTTAATTATATGCCCGAAAAATTAAAAAAAAGTTTTTTGACAAACAGTCTATCAGACCAAGAGTAAACTTATACTATCTTTCTTGTTGCAACCGAGATCTTTTTGTTCTGAGTTGTGCTAGGCTTAAGAATTATAGTTCTAGAATATGAAACTCATTAGATCATTCGTTCTCCGAAAATTCGTAAAAAAATCGATTTGACAGTACTTGACGTCAAGAGTAAACACATGCTTCCTTTCTTGTTCCAACCGAGATCTTCGACGGAAGCAAAGTTGTACACCTAATAATTTAATCATGAGTTAACTTACTAAAAAATTAGAACAACCGGCCCTTAGTTCATTTTTTGTACCTGAACTGACTGCACCAGCTTGCAGCTTCTTTCTTTTTTCTACCAAATCACAGCTATCCTTTTTTAAGTTCCGAATGCACTAGTTGAGCTACAAAGAACAGAAGAACTAGTTGAGCTACAAAGAACTAGTTGAGCTACAAAGAACTTTCTGTTTCTACGTTCTATGTTCCGTTATTATCAGTGTAGTCTACCTTCGTTCATTTAATGAGCAACAAGAATAGAATAATGTTGCTAACATTGGCTGACAATATCGGAGAACGCAGGGTGAATCCTCCATAACGCGGTTACCGTCGATGAGCTACAAAATTGGGACGAAGATCAAAACGGATCGGACTGAAAGGGAGAAAAGCGACAATGCGGTTAGAATCGGCTTAACGCGGTCCGCGGGCTGCGCAGAGCGCGGGCATTATTCTCTGATTTCTTCGTGAAAAACAATTTCGCACCCGCGGTGATGCGGGAATCGCGACACGCGATCGATCATCTCGAAATACACACACAGCCGGGATTTGCTCGGCGCACTTAATGCCGCTTTGTCCGCCGAATGAGTTTCGCCGGCGGATCGACGTGGCGAGCGCGGAACTTTCCACGCGCTCCGTCCGGAAATTAAGCGACATATCGCCGGCAATAATGCACCTACGCACGCCATTGACTGCACGCCGCGTGTCCGACGCCGGGATCGTCACCGTTCACCCGCTAACCTGCGAGTAGTCCCCCCCGTCGGCGATCTCCGTAAAGCCCATTCTACAATTGCGTAAGCGTAGTCGTGAACGTAAGAGTCAACCAATCCGAATGTTTGATTCACTGATTGCTTTACTTTGATTGGTTGTCGTAATCACTTACAACCACGTTCACGCAATTGTAGAAGGCCGTCCCACAATTGCGTAAGCGTGGTCGTAAGTGGTTGTAAGTGATCACGACGACTAATCAGAATAACGCAGTCAGCAAATAAAACACTCCAGTAGACTCTGGGTGGCTTCACGCTTATGCAATTGTAGAATGGCCTTAAGAGAACACACACAGAAAAATACCAGGTGTAGAAGTATGAAACCGGAATTTTTTTATACAAATAAGACGTCTGTTGTTCGAAAGTGATAAATAATACTTTATTCAAAATAATTTCCACTGTTTTGAACACATTTTTCCCACCTCTCTGGCAGTTTATGAATGCCGTGCCAAAAAAACTTTTCATCTTTTGAAGCGAACCAGTTATCTAGCCATTTTTCCACATTTTCATACGAATCGAAGCGTTGGTTAGCGAGAGCGTGTCCTAGCGATGCGAACAGGTGATAATCGGACGGAGCCAAGTCTGGAGAATAAGCCGCATGCGGTAGTAATTCCCAACTGAACGACTCGATCGTTTCCTTGACCCGTTTTGCTGTATGTGATGGGGCATTATCATGGAGCAAAATGACATTGTGTTGCCTTTTTGCATATTCTGGTCGTTTTTTAGTCAATGTTCGATTTAAATCGATCATTTGTTGTTGGTAGCGATTAGTATTGACGGTTTGACCAGGTTTCAGCAGTTCATAGTTCATAGTTCATAGTTCATAGTTCTTCGTTCCTCACGTCAAAATCACCACTTTTGAATTTTTTAAACCACTCGAAACACTGAGATTTACCAAGAGCATATTCACCGTAAGCTTCGACAAGCATTCGATGTGATTCTGCAGCAGTTTTCTTTAAATGATAACAGAAAATCAATGCTGTCCGCAAATCATAGTTAGTAGGCTCGAAACGTGACATGTTTAAGGTTATACAAAAATATACTAGAGAATGAAAGTTGGGGTTATGTTTGTTGACAATATTCGTCAGCTGTTAGGAGAATATAATAGCGCGGCAGTAGCGGTCTTACGGTCACTAAACTGAACGCTGGCATCATTTATAGGGGAATTCCGGTTTCATACTTCTACACCTGGTACATGCTGCGTTCAAGTGAATGTCACTTGTCTATTATATACCCATAAATCTATGATAATAAGTTTACCATATATAAGCGTCAAATTCGTTCAAATACATTCTGAACCTTAATCGGTTTAGTATTTCACAATAAAATATAGGAGAGGCCGAGGCTATTTGGCTGTCGGAGTAAATTGGCAAAATTGATTGTGTTCGCACTGTTTTTTAACAGATTTCAGAATGAAGCAAACAGGAATTTCAAATTCATTTCTGACATGTTTAAAAATCTTGCTTGCTTAATTCTGCAATTTCTTAGAAGATATTAAAAATAATTAGATTTGTCAACTTAACCCGATAGCCAACTATTCCTGGTCTTTCCTACCAAATTACAACAAAAATGCGGTTTATTACATAAAGTTGAACCGGCTTTTATTTCGATAAAAAGTCCTACAATATTCTGTACATTCCTCGGTTATAAAATTCCATGAGAACTTTTACTCTGAGGTTTTTATTGCCCTTGTGTGCTTCTGTCTTACCTCTCTTATTTCGTTGCGTTTCCTCCTCATATCTCTTTCGTTCGTATATCGTTCTTGTATCGTCTCCCCGCCCTCATGATTTATTATTTCATTCGATTCGTCGAACTACACAGGGTGATGTACCGTCGTCGTGAATCGCATTTCATCCTCACCCCGTTCTTCACATAATATATTTATGTGCCCTCGTCCGCGTGCGCCTTTAAACGGGTTACCTGGGCGAAATAAATCCGCCCGTTTATCTATGCGCCCATGTTATCGCGTTTGCACCAGCGATGTAGCCCTCGAACTGTGTATCGAATTTCGCCGTTAGAAAATCTCTCTGCTTCCTCTCTGCTTTCTTTCCCTCTCCGTCTTTCTCACCCTCTCCCTCCCTCCCCTCCTTTCACCTTCCTCTTTCGTTCTTTATTGGATTCGAATGTAAGAATGCCGTCATTGATCTGAATTAAGATTACTGACGTATTTTATGGTGGCCGCGGGGACCGAGGCATTTTTTATCACTTTCTCAGATTTACGACGACGTCATACGAACGGCCGTAATGTTACAGCGGCCAGCCGTAAAAATTTTTTCCCTCGATGCATTCTAATGGCCTATTTACACGCGGAATAACTACAGCGTTACGTCCTCGTATAATTGCGCCAACCTTTTCTCTCTCTCTTTCTCTCTTTCTCGCTCTCGTTCTCTCTGTCTCTTTGAATGCCATGTATTACGGCTTTATGGCGTAAACACGCGCATTACGAAGACGCAAATATAGCGTCCCGATCGAGATAACACCGTTATAAGCCGGTATATCGCGATATTTGACTTTCTAATTCGCGAATAATTAGAGGGAAGGGTGGCGCGGAGGGGAGGATTTCGCGCGCACGAAACGATTCGTGTGAGTAATGTCTCGTTAAAGAGCATCTTTTTATGCAATATCTTTTTATAGCCGCGATTTATTACAGCGATTATCATCGATTTAAATCAAGCCTGTAGGTGTATTTTACGATCGCCAAACATAAAAATGTTTATGCGCGATACGCTTTATCGGCGTTGGCGCAGTCAATGCATTAATATTCTCTTTTTTTACAGGCAAAACAGATACGACGAGAGAAGTAATAGTTATAAGGTCGGTCCAGTGTCGGATTTACGAGGTAAATGTGCGAGGATACGCATTCGCATCTACGCGGGCAGAAATTTGAAACGGAGATTAAAAAGGGTCCAGACAGTTTTTCCCAAACTTCTAGACTCAAAGACAGGTTCATATAGGCTCTACAAAGAGATGTAATAACTCCCTTACACAAATTAGCGCCTAGACCTGTAAATCTGACCAGCCCTTATCTTAATATGTTTAACTAAACCCTGATGAATTGGGACTCTATTTTGATATTTATATTTAAGGTAAATTAAATTAAGGTAAATTATATTATAATTCAGATATAATAAATTAAATCTTTCCTTAGTATTCTTATCACCATCTTTCTTATAACTTTTATTACAATTTTTTATTAAAATTTTTCTTGTTACATATAATACTTTCATGTAGGTAACATTATTATTAATATCGAACATCTGTTTTCTCTTTTTTCTGGTCAATTTATATTCCATTCACATTCGTATTTTATATAAATTCATATTTATTCATATTCTATTCGTATGTTTTATTCAAAATCATGAAAGTAGATATTTTTTAATATCAAAATTAATATTTACTTTAATTGTTTAAAATAAAAGTGTAATAATAAGTATAATAATAAAAGTATAATAATAAGTATAATAATATCAAAATCCTTATCTTATAGTCACAAAACGTTAACTATTAATGAATCATCGTTTTTCCACTGAAACCATTAATTGGTTGACTTTTCCTTACCGAGCTTTATTAGAACATGTTTCGTTTGCAGCATTCACATCAGCATCAATTCACGGTCTTTCCGCGAAATCCCACTCAAAATTTTCTTATTTCAGTCATATCTGAGCCTTAAGAAAGCCTGTCTGTTTCGGGGCATCACGTCAGCATCAGTTCATGGCCTATTCACGAAATTTCACTCAGAATTTATTTATTTTAGCCATATCTGAGACCTACGAAGGTCTACGACGTATATTTATTTTGAGGTATTCCTAGCTAGGATTACTTCATACTTAGGGCCCACCCCGATTAATTTCTATCTAATATTCTCTCCTCTCTTTCTGTCTCTCTTATATGCGTGCATGTTATTTCGTCGGGAGGAAAACTCGACCTCTGCACAAAAGGCAGGTGGTGTATGATGAAGACCGTAAAGTCCCCGCGGGACCCTTAATTCGAGGAGATATCTCAGAGGACGATCTGTAATTAGATCGACATCGCCCTGGACAATCGAAAAGGGAATATAAGAAGGAAATGATCTCCTCGAATTTTAACGCGGGATGCACGAAAGTGACGGTCAATCTGATAGCGCGGATAAAGCCGTTCTCGTTCCCGATTCAATTTGCGTAATTTTTTTAGTCGTTGCATTCTTCGAGGGATATATCCCGTGAGGGAGTTGCGTTATCTTCTTAAAAAAGGAAGAAATGGCGGAGTGGTAAAAGTAGAAAGAAGAAGAAGGAACCGCGGAAGAAGTTGCTTTACTTCTCCCTTTAATTCGCAAAATCTCATTTGAATTTGAAATTTGCTCGCATTTGAAAACGCGCGTTCGATATCAGCTCGTTACCCGACCCGAGTCCTGAGAAACGCCGGACGGTGATGTGACACTAGTTAAACATCATTAAATCGTTAAACAGCGACTCGTTCGATAAGGAGTTATAATAGGTTCGGAGAGAAAGTGCACCGTGAGTGGGAGGATTGGAGGAAGAGAGGAGGACAACATAGGTCGACGCTATGAGTTTGCGAACAACCGGCACGGGTCTCCTTTTATTTAAACAATTGCATCCCTGAGTCGGGTTGAGTGTAGATATAATAACAGTTTTGCGGATGTTTGACAATACGCCCTCTCATTATGGGCGAGCGCGCGACAGGTTATTCGAGACTTTTTGTTGACGCATTATGTGTAACAAAGTGACCGATCGTCAAATTACCGACACGTGTGCGCGCCATTAGATATTATGATTAAAGGCATGTCATGCTTGGAAACTTTGATAACAAAATGCCGACATTTCTCTGCAAAGTTTACATCATATTGGTTGTGTAGCATTACAGACGTTTGACCCCAAAAAATAACTCTAATTGCGAGGTGTTATTTTCTGCAATCCTATATTCTAAACGAAAATTTTGGTCGAAAGAATATTCCTCTTTTAATTTAGCGGACTGTTAATCGGAAATCTAGTAGATATTATTCCAACTTTTTTTCCTATTGAATCTAGAGGAATATTTGAAACAGAATACCCTCTTATTACAATTTTCATAAAGAACAATATTTACACTGTGGATAGCGGAGTTCCTCTAGCTTGAAAAATATTGCGTTTAAACTATTTTCCGTTTAGTTTGAGAAGAGTTCTCTTGAAGTCATGTATATGAATAAAATCCTCCAGGATTTATACTATTCCGCTAAGGACGAGATTATGTTCCTTTATGCATGTTCTACACAACGAAAGTACGTGCAAACATGAATTGGAGCATTGCAATATATGACGAAAACGATGAAAAATTTCAAAATCGACATCTTCAGCTGTCAGTCAGCGTAACTATTGACCCAATACAAAAGTTCTGCAGCTCGTACATATTGAACGTGTGTTTACTCTGCTGAGAAAAATTTCAAAGAACTTTGCTGCACCTTTGCAGCTGAATTTAGAAGCTTAAAGTATACGAAAGTATACGAAAAGTTTGCAGAGGGATTTATTTATATGCATGGTAACGGTTTCCGCTGCATGTTTCGGTAAAACAAAGCAGCACACGTTTTTATATATACGTGTACAAGAAATACCAGAAAGGTATCGCGTGATCATGTTCTGCGCGCGCATCTGCACACAGAAAAAGAACACTCTACTGCTAACAAAAGTGTTTACTTAATTTATTTCCTTCTTTTAAGTAATGATTACCTTCACAAAGAATATTTTCTTAATAACAATTTTAAAATGTGCTTAACATAAATTTGAGGAAAGAAACATATACTCAAAAAAAAGAAAGAATTCTCTTTTTTTTGAGAGAGAATATTATGAAATTTTATCAAAGGAAAGAAGTTTGTTCGACTCTGTAAGCAGTGAGCAAATCGAATTTTAGTTTTAATTAATTTTTTATTTCCTTCTTGATTAAAATGCTGAAAACTTACTAGGATTCAGAATGTATTTTGAATAAATCTGATGTTTATAACGAACTCCTGATAGAGGTTTGCGGATACACATAAAGTCCAATGTCCACGGAGCGTGATTTGAACTTGTTTTTCTTGCGAGAAGCCATGCATACCGCTAAATTCGTTCTGCAGCAAAAAATTTGGCTCTCGGCGTGCTCCGTTGCGAATTTGACAGTTAGTTTTTCCAGACAGATTCGGTGTTATTTTCCAAGCGTATTACTAGGATTCCAATATAGTTCCAATCAGATAGACCGAACGTCAGCTGACGTCAATCATATAATTACAGTGATTGAACGAACTGTATTGGAATGCCAGCAACACGTTTGGAAAATAACGCTGAAAACCTGGAAAACCTAATCTGAGAAAATTAACCATCAAGCTCGCAACGGAGTACGCCGAGCGTCAAATTTTTTGCTGCAGAACGTACTTAGCGGCATGCATGGCTCACACAAGAAAAACAACTTCAAATCACGCTCCGTGGGAATTAAGCTAATAAAATACTTGAAACAAGTAACATTCTACTTGAACGCAGTATGTATTTTTCTATGTGTGTGTGACACACATAAGACTTTGATGATCGTCTCTACGACAGAGTTTCTGGAGTTCGTCATCATCAATCACGGCGATTATTCCTTCATTGCGCATTCCGTGCGCCAGGACCGATGATCACGATAACGACGACGACGATACTAAAGCGTGTAATTATACGCGACATCATTGTCAATTAGTAATACGCTTCGCGTGGCGATCGCGCAGAAATATAATCACGTGACTCGATTATTCCGTTTATCTGTCGTCGCGCTTCTGCGCATGGCGCCGTTCGCTCGTCAATAACTAATACATCGGTGTAACGAGGCCGCGCGTAATAAGTAATTCTCCCAAGCGACATGAATAATTTCTGTCCATTATCCAATCACGCGTGGCGAGTGTTCTGCCCCCCTTCGCCCCTGCCATCCCTCCTCCTTGTCGAACGTCTTGGAAATGCGCGGCGAAAAAGGCCGCCATTCAGTTTTTCTTTCGTCGTTCTACTCCTCGTCCGACAGGTAATCGATTTCGTAAGAGTCAATCCATTACCTCTCCTCTCTTGTCGCTAATTGAGGTCGCCTCGCGCGAAAGGGATTATATATTACTGATGGGGGAGGGAGGAGAGTGGGAAGGAATTTATTAACAAACTTTTTCATAGCGCGCGAACTCGACTGTTTGATCCACTGTTTGACTGAATTTTCAGTCGACTGGATATTAACGGAATAAATGCTCAGTGTAAATGTTAACTGACAGGAGAAATATCTAAAAAATAAAAATACTTAGTGAAATCTAAAAACCTATTGACTTAGGTTCAAATTCGTCTGTTTAAGTAAGATAAAATTGCTTTGACGAAAAGCTCCGCGTTTTTAAGAAAATGTATGTATGCTCTTTCAATGCATATTTCCTCTCGGTAAGAGTAGATTTATTCATTACTTAAAAGAAGGAAAATAAACTAAGTGAACACTTTTTTTAGCAGTAGAATGATATTTTTCTGCATGTATGCATACAGAAAAATATTGCATTCAAATAGATGTCTCAATTATTTCATAAGTTTATATGATCCGCAAAATCTATCATAAGTTCAAATTGTAAACGTCAAATTTATTCAAGATACATTCTGAATCTTAGTAAGTTTAGTATTTCAATAAGGAATATTAAATTGAAACAAAAATTCGATTAGTATATTACATAGAGTAGAATCAACTTTTTCGAAGTTTCATAATATTTTTGCAAAGATAAGTTCTTCTTTTGAGCACAGAACAGTGAGTTTTTAAAAAATTTGTGAGTATCATATTTTAAGGCCATTATCAAGAAAATATTCTTTGTTGAAGATGATCATTATTTAAACAGAACAATCATTATTC